ATTTTGTTACCGCCCAATGGATGGTTAATGGGACATAACAGAACGAGTTTACGCTTCACAAAACATTTTTCACTAGAAAAAGTAAGGATATCATCACACATGATGCTATTGTACTTAACTCTAGAAGACTAGTATTTTCAGTGAGGGTTGAATCCCAAGTTTTGTCCATGTACTACCGAAGGGAATAATCTCAGTCTTAAGAGGGCTCCTCAAGCTCCTCCTCGTTCGGAAGGCCTTTCCTATGGATATTTCGTATGGCTCTTCTGAAATCTCCCGTCATATAGAGCTCTTATCCCGGAACTCTTCCGGATCCTTCCGTTCAAAGAGCCCTCATTGAGACCACGGCAGAGGTAATAATGTTCCTCTGGGCGCCTGTCCGCCTAACTTGCTCTCTCTCTCTCTCTCTCTCTCTCTCTCTCTCTCTCTCTCTCTCTCTCTCTCTCTCTCTCTCTCTCTCTCTCTCTCTCTCTCTCTCTCTCTCTCTCTCTCTCTCTCTCTCTCGTTACCTCATGCTACATCAAGAGCAAATCCTGATGATTACCAGCATCGTTCATTCTAGCTGAAAATGTGTATCATCGATTGCTAACTTTAGCGAAAATTGAACATTATCGCGGCTCGCCTTAGCGGACGAGCAACATCATTTCCTCCCACTCGAGCGGAAATTCGCCACGGATGCTGGCTTGTTTTAGCCATTGTAAATCAGAAGATATTGCAACCTTAGCAGAAGCGCAACTGCAGCGATGCTCAACGCACCGGGAATAGCGAGAGATAATGGTGCACCGTAGTGCATATGTTCCTCTCGTTAACATCACAGCATAGTTTTATGATGCATATGTATATATATATATATTGTATAAAAAAAAAAAAAAAATATATATATATATATATATATATATATATATATATATATATATATATATATATATATATATATATATATATATATATATATATATATATGTAACTTACTAACCAAAAAATAAATGTGGATAATACCATTTCATCTACTTCGGTCATAGGAGTCTAGAAGCACGGACCCCAAAAGCGAAATCCCGCAACTCGATCAACCAAGCTATTAACCACCCACAATAGAGGGGTTTCTGAGACACCCAACTGATGTCCAACTGAGACTTTAGACCTCCACTGGGGTGACACTTGAGCATGGAGGAATTAGGTGATTCACACCTTGAGGTTACCTTGAGACCATATAATTTTCGAGCCATATAATTTCCTACCCACAATAAACGTGGGTAACATTTCATTGACTTGGGCCACAGAGAAAACAGATTATAATTTGTTTAGCGATCCCAATAGTTCAGATGTTTTACTGAGTGGATATAGGCAGTAGAAGATCCAGGTCAGCAATCACTCCAGCTTTGAATGGGCTGTTATTATATAACAGTATTCTACCGTAGAGAGCACTAGTGTATTAAAACGTATCATCACTGGTCTAGCATCGCTTGTTTATTCAACCAGTCATTTTTCTTGCAGTTTTGACAGTTGCTTGATTGTGTTCATTAAAAGTAAAGCCTTCCTACATGATTACTCTCAGATCAACATGATTGCTCCAAATTGGACTACTGAATTATCAGTGAACTTATGTATTAACACTGGACTACTGCTGTATTCCTGAATTGTACACATTAAATGAACTACAATAACACTAAATTACTAAATCTCAATCACTAAACATCTGAACTACACGGTCATTGAACCTATGAACTATATTATTACTGAAACTCCGCAATAACATGTCACTTTGTAATATATATATATCTATTATGCATAAGCAACTTTAACAAATTATTCCCCTCCAGAAATAATTCTAACAGCATATCACAGTCTAACTCTACTCCACTACCCTGTTTGTTATCACACTATCCAACATTGTTATTAAACAGTCAGGATATTCGATAAAAGTTATCACGCTTGATCTAGCAAGAATCGACTAGCGTTCCACCTGTTGCGTTGTTCAAACTTCTTACGCCAATGTGAATTTGATTGCATGTCTCAATTGCTTGATAAAAAAAACTAAGCATTTCCCAGCAGAGAAGTCGAGGCAGCTGTGGTTTACAAAGATAATGAGAGAGAGAGAGAGAGAGAGAGAGAGAGAGAGAGAGAGAGAGAGAGAGAGAGAGAGAGAGAGAGAGAGAGAGAAGGTGGGTGGAAGGGTGTGGTAGGGAGACCAGAGTGCAATAACAGTTTAACAGCCAGACTTACCATTAGTAAACACACTAGGGAGGTCAGGCAATAAAAGGAAGCAGTAAAGATTAACGGCAGGAGATAATATCAAAACTGTGAGTGCAATAATGTGAGTGCAAATCAAATAAGAACACGATTAAACATCTGATAATTATCTTTGGCTTGGTGAAGAATGTGAGGAGGAGGAGGAGGAAGAAAAGAGAGGAGAGAAAATAGGAGAATTATAAGGAAGATGACAACGATAAGAAAAGAAGATGGGACCGAACGCTCAGAAAGGAGCAAGTAAGAGAGGAGAAAAAGATGTTAAAATAACTTTATAAATGCAATCAAAAAGGGAAAGGGCAGAAAAATTAAATTAGGAGATAAATTAAAGAATAAGATGAAGATATAAAAGGAGAAGGTGATAAATACTGAAAGTTACAGCATCACACCGTCTGGAGGGCAGGTGAAGCACAGTAGGCTTCGTGCCCTGCTGACACTCTACTCGCATCCATAAGCATATCAAATTCAAATTCAAATGTTTATTCAGGTAAAATACATACATACAAGGTGTGGTACAAAACATTGATGGATCTATAGATAGAGCTAGTACATACAATGCCTAAAGTCACTATTACGTAAAGCGTTTCGGGCAGGAATCAAACTAACAGATTTATCTCTCGATATATAGGATGTTAATATTCTGCCCTCATTGCTTTATATTGCCTGAAGCTAAGAGGAAATTGAATAGATGTAGACAACGTTAAGGGATGCCTGACAGCTGAGTGGACAGCGCTTCAGATTCGTAATCCTGAGGTTCCGGATTCGATCCCCTGTGGAAGCGGAGACAAATGGGCAAAATGTTTCTTTCACACTGTCACCTAGCAGTAAATTGGTACCTGGGAGTTAGACAGCTGCTACGGGCTGCTTCTTGGGGGGGTGTAACAAAATGGAGGCCTGGTCGAGGATCGGGCCGCGGGGACGCTAAGTCCCGAAATCATCGCAAGGTAACCTCAAGATAACGTTAGGTAAGATAATTTTGAGGAAAAAAGTCCTTAAGGCAATTTGACTATATAGTACTCAGAAGGGATATAAGGAGAAGGAGCTCGTTGTAGCTGTCTAGCTCCCAGATACCTATTTAATGCTAGGTGAACTAGGGCATCAGGGTGAAAGAAACTCTGCCCATATATTTCCGTCTCCGCCAGGGACCGAACCCGGAACCTTAGGACTACGAATATCGAGCGCTGTCCCCTCAGCCATCAGGCCTCACAATGCGACAAAAATTATCCCAGAACTGAGTCGACTCTCATACCAGGATCGGTTGAGGGCCTCATAGCTAACACCATTGCAAACCAGACGTAACAGAACTGGTATCATCGAAGCTTTTACAATAGTTAACAATTTAGAGGACATTGATCCAGACCACTATTTTAAAAGGTCAGACGAAACACAAACTAGGAGCAACGGCTCTAAGCTCACCATGACAAAATGAATGACAGAAAACAAGGAATGCTCTTTCACTAATCGGGTTCTAAAACCATGGAATTGCCTATCCACCGCAGCTATAAATGCCAAAACATTTCTGGAATTCAAAATCTAGTTAAATAAAATAATGAGAACAAATTGAGTGGATCTCTGGTAAGCCGCTGGCTTCCTGCCCTCCTTAAAGCCACTAGTAAGCTGGCAACTCTCAGGTAAGTTCTGGATAAAAATGGGACTGCATTGCCAATCCTCCATACTTCTGGTAAAAAGTAAATATCCTTATGAGATCACTGACTGTTTATTCGAATTTCTTGAAGACCAAAATATGCTTCATCACGGCTAGGATATATATTGGGTAAGGATTTCAAATTTTTGTTTACAAATCTCAGTTAAAGTTTTACTTGTAGTGTACACACTTATTTGTTACATTGTATAGTTCCTCTATAATGTTTACGGTAATATTGTTACCATATGTTTGTTCAGATAGATTTGTTCAATATTGTAAGGTTCTTACCTAGTGAATAACGATATTAAATTGATGAAAATATTGACTATTACTACCTCATTATCAAATGACAGGATCGTAAATGATCATTATTCCCTGGATAAGGTTAAGGGTGCAAGTGGGGGAGTGGGGGGGGTGTTGGAGGGCAGGGGAAAGGAGGGGAAGAAGGTGGTGGAGGAGGAGGCTTAGAAGGTTTTAGAAGAGGGGATTGTTGAGTGGAAATGTGATAGGACATAGTAGTAGAGGTGGGGAAGGGGGGTAGATGGAAGAGGAAGGAGGTAACAGAAGTGGGAGGTGGTAGAAAGGGAAGGTGGAAGAGAAAGAAAGGTAGTTGAGAGGGGGAAGTTAGTAGAGAGGGGAAGGTGGTAGAGGGGGAAGTAGTGCAGGTGGGAGGGGTTATGGGGAAAGAGAGATTTAAAGAATTATAAAAATAACTAAGAGGAGAAGGAGAAACAATAGATAATCAAATAATTATTACTGAACATTGATATTAAATACTAAACACACTATTGACATCAGCTCGCAGAAGTAAAACGAAAAAAAGCAGCATGCAAAATATCGACAATAAATAAACTCGAAACATTTAAAAATGTTATCCATATATAATTATAATCACGATTATCAAAACCTTTAATTAGGAAACGAACGTAAATACTTCAATTCAGTGAAAATAATTATCAATTATTTAAATACCAGTTTTTTGCTTTTAGTTTTGTTTTTGCGAACGAACCCATTAACCAAACTGAATGACAATCATTTATATCACAGGACAAAATGCATTGCCTGTATGCAAATTACACAATTAAAACATTGCTTTTAACAGTTTCCTTACCTCTTGCTAACTGGGGCCCCAGTCTCTAGTCTCTGGCCTTCAATAGATCATAGACCTCGACTTTTCAAAAGATCATAGGTCTAGGTCTCAAAAAAAATCACTGGTCTAGGTCTTCAATAGATTATAGGCCTTGATTTTCAATGGATTATTATCGTTGTTTTTTTCTTTACAACTCTTGATGTGTCAGTTTTAAAAATTTACCTTTTCACCCTCAGCTTCTTCTCCTCATCCTAGGATAGCTCCTGTCATCTCAAACGAACACCTGTCTTCATCACTGTCTCTTAATATCAGGTCAAACGCTAAGATCGTCACTAATAAACTAGCTCAACGTTCATCGACTGTTCAGAAAACTTCATTCCAAGGTTTTAACCAAAAAGAGTTGAGGAAGTTCAAAGTTCATTCAAAGCTCATAATGAAATCTCGTTTTCTTTGACTCCAGAAACGAGTATTCGTTGTTATTATATACACAAACACGCATCAAAGTTCTTCGTACTGCAGTTCCAATAAACAAACTATAAACAACTTGTAATAAACTTGGCATTTTAAATTAGTTCCGGGCATTTTGGTTCCAGTTTACATATATGCATATATTAAACTGCGAATTTTCATCTTTCAGCATAGCTCAGTTATTTCAAAACTTCAGTTAAACTCTTGTAAGAGTTTTCCTTTCTTAGCGACTTCGTAAAGAGGTACTTCGTTACCGTCTTGCCATGTTCTACACCAAAATATATTCAAGGGAATCCAGACGCCTCGTAACCTGGAAAGATGGTAAAGATTCGTATATTATCTAATCAAATATTTGTTCATATATTTACAGACTTTCTAAAACGCAAATAAAACACACTTAAAGTTCCTTCAGACGATAAAGCCAAGGAGGGCAATTTGGTGTATTTTATTAGCTTATAATCACAGCGAGACCATCCCCATGTATTTTGTTCGTACTCTGAAATACGCACACGAACGCGAGGACATACGCGCTCAGACCGACATGAAAAGACAAGCGCCACACGCACCGTCTAAGAGAGCATATGGAACACCCTCCCGCTGCAGTGGTCGGGTTACAACTGACGTCCCAACCAAGACTTTTCTCCTATCTGGAAACTCAGGTCACGCGCAGTTGCCACTTGCGGAATTTTTCTAGAATTAAGAATTTGACTTTTCGAGACGAGAAGGAACTTAAAGTTTACACCTTAGAATATATTTAAGTATTCATTGTCTATGTCAAGTAAACGTATATGATTTAATGCTTTGAAAGGTATATTATTTGTCTTTTTACATGTACTAAATGGTAATAAGTTCTAACAATATTGTTTAACGAAGAGTTTCTATGAAATCGATGAGGCCAAAATTGAACGTGGAGTTTTGCTAAATATAAACACTTTTTATCATAGTCTCTTGCAGACACGCACACACGCAAGCATAGCACACTCATGGAGACTGTCGGTGGGTCTGTCTGTCTGTCTATTGTTCTGTCTGTCTGTCTGTCTATCGTTCTGTCTGTCTGTCTGTCTATCTTTGTATCGTTCTGTCTGTCTGTCTGTTTTCATTCAAATTATTTGATATTCCTGATCATCCTTTCCATTAATATTACTTTCAGGACTTACATTACCATCCTCTAACCACCAATAACACCAACCCCATCCACCAATCCCGACTACCTTATCCATTAACCGCCAACTAACCACTAATCACGAATCATTCCCAACATATCCCACTAACAACCAATCCCGATAACTCCAACTACCTATCCCGCCCTACCCCATTCCCCAGTTCATTCATCCCTTAACTTATTGAACTCTCTTTTATAAGCACATTCTTCTTCGTGATTATATCCCTGTCTCCCCTTTCGTCCCTTATTTGTATCTCTTTATATCTTCTACACCCTCCCCTTTCTCTTTTCTCTTTTAACACTCTCCTTCTCTCCTTCACGTTCCCTCCTTCTCCTTATCCGCAGTACCTTAATCACCATTCGTTACAGTACGCCAGTGTCGTCGCTAATTACCAGATCAATATATTGCTCTTTAATGACGCTAATCTCCTCGCCTCCCGCTGATGCCTTAAAAGTAATTCATACATTTTGGATGTGCAACATTTTTTTTGTGATAACTTTTGTCACACACGTGTGGATATGATTCATCTTATGCCTCATACGCGCTCATATGATTCATTGCCTCTTATATGAATTTTATACGATTCAAGTCATATAATGTGACATTCTCTGCAAGAGAATGTCACAATACCTTGGGTTGATATATCCAACCCACACACGGGAAGAAATAGGATATGACGATGTTTTGGTTCGTTCTGTATTCTTATCACGACCTGATAAGGGTCTGGAAGGACTAAAATATCTTCACGTTCATTGACGTTCACATGTATGGGTTGGTTAGTTCATTTGATCTTGTCTCATTAATGCATAAAGCGCTTTCTTAGCAAACAAGGACGCAGCAACAGAGTTAATATTCGACGACAGGAAGAGATCGCTCTACTAAAGGTCTTTGAATAGACACGACGTAAGACTAGAGGCACACATCAGCAGAATAACATCAGCGGCGTATGCAATGGCCTCGAACATCCGAGTAGCATTCAGGACCCAAGTCATGGAAAGCTTGAGAGTCTTGTACTCAAAGCACGTTCATGAAATCCTTATATGGAGACCCCCATCGGAAGGAACTAGCCCATCCTCCAAAAATGATACTACTTATAGCAACTATTTGGTCGAAATAACATATGAAGATTAAAGTGCTAATATGTAGTGATGGATATACAGTAAACAACTTTTTGCACTATTAATTAGATATTCAGAAAAACTAAAAACCAAACTTAAATATTTCTACGTTTAAAACAAAAAATATAAATATTATATTAGGCCTAAGATAACATTTATTAGACCTATGACTGCTAAGATTGTTAGGTTAGGTTAGGTCTTATATATGTGTTATGATTAAAACAAATTCCGGTTTGTCCAAATTCAGTAATATAAAAGTCAACTTTCTGATTGGCCATCAACTCATATTGGTACGATAAGTACCCTCATTTTAGGAGAATGGACTTGAAGAAATTCTTACAAACGAGAGAAAACGGTGATATATTACATGTTTTGACTTGGATATTAGAGGGCTGGAATATGAGAAATGACCGAGCCAACTTCACAACACCACACTACGGGAATGAAGATTCAGAAGGGACTTAATTACGACATATATGGGTTGTTCTTATGAAATTGATGTGATAAACAGAGACGAAATATTCAGAAGAAGAAATGGAAACACGAGTGCCCATAAGTAAGAGCTGCAGATGGATATGTTAAACAAATGTAAGGTACTATTATTTTAGTGTGAAAGAAAGAGGAGAGAGCTATGAGACAGTAGTCTGAGTTTGTTATAATAAAAAGATGTGTGGTGAGTTACTAACGTGTTGGAGATAACTGTCCTAGAGCTAAAACCCAACTAATTTTAGAGCACATTGTAAGTGCAAACACATACACACGCCCACACAAAGCGCAAGACGCCCGCAAGTGAGGTAGGATCAAAGAGTGAGAAATGAAAATTAAAATACTTCAATAAGAAAGAGGGACATAAGATGGAACTGTTTCAGTACCACAATAGAGAAGAAATGGAATGAAATAGCATAAGAAGTGGTTGTGTATCAGCAGACAGCAGGTTGCAGGCTTATGGGTTAGTATGGAAGCGACGTCATTCGTCGGTGGCGTGGAGGGGCTCATTATTTTCGACTGTCAGTATAGGTATGTAACAAGGCAGTTCTCACAGTTGGCCAAGTGGGCCCTTCGCATATTGTGGGAAGGCCTTTGGAGACTTGGCACGAATTAAGCTATAACGTAGAAGCTACTCGAGGCCTGTACTAACTAGCGGATAGTGAGAGTCGCAGACATATCGGAGAGAGACGGGCGTATGTCTGGTTCCTCCTTCGTTGCACTCTCTGCCTAGCGTTTGCATGAGTGAACTGCTGTTGCCTGCCCGATGGTTGTACCCCCCGCTGACACGGTGGGAGAATTGTCGGTATGGGGACACTCACGCCACTGTTAAGGCGGTCTGAGTCACCTGGATTGCATTTCCCCTGCAGCATGTATTAAGAAGTGCTACGCTGTTCGATATTTTGAAATTGAAATTTGACGCTCTGATTGGGGGTTTCAAGTGCTTTGTAACAAGCGGGTTGTGGTGAGGTTTGCAACTGCTGCATCTTTCAACGACTTTGTGAACAAATACGAGGATAAGATTGTGAACTAAGAAAGTGGCAGAGAACTCTGTGTGATTATGAATATGAGTAGGGCGCACTGCGGGAAAAGTTGCGTCGATTAAGATTTCTGATGACATTATTCTAAGTGTTCTGTTATGTTACAGAAAGGTTAAGAGTTTCTGTCTAAAAAGACACTCTTTAAATAAGCCGAAAGGGGCTTCCGAATGGATCACGGACAGTGAAATTGGTCCGAAAGTTTCGGGAGGGCACAGCGGCGTCTCAGGTGGTTAGACTGTCTCTCTGGTCTTGGTTTTTGGTTCTATTTTGTCTTTTCGTTTATTTTTCAGCTGCTGGAGTTATGTTCTTGTTTTACAGCATTCCGTTGCGATTGCATGTGCTTGCTGGGCTCTGATGTCTGGGGTAACAGCCAACTTATTTTGTGGGTTCTTATTTTTCACCTGATTTGTGTTATTTTTTCGTGTGGTGGCTCTTTGTGTTTCTTGCTATACAGCTTGAACTTACATTGTATACTTCCCTAGTATTTCTCGATATTGTTTTGCAAATATCTATGTATTTATTAATCTATGTAAGTAGAGGTAAAAAAAAATGGTGGAGAGCTGAAGATGGAAACAAACCAGCTAATTGGTCTTTTAAAATTCCAGAAGCGTGTTCTAAGATTCAGTTGAAGAAAACCTTAGTAAAGAGAGTTTGTTGTTCTTTAAACCTCTTCTGTGGTGATTTTAGTTTTACTTCGGAGTTAAGGAGAAAAGCCAAAGGAAATACGTGAACTTTCCGAGGCATGTAATTTGGGTGGATATAAAAAGGATCAGATTCCTCTATTCTTATGCTTTAAGCCTACATATAAAACATTATTAATTATATTGCCTACAATAAGATTTGTAAATGTTAGTTAAAATTTGTTTCATTTCTTTTTCAAATAATTTATTGATAGTTTTAATTAAAATCTTTTCTTTAATTTAAGTGCCATTTTGTGATAAAGTAATATAAATGTGTACGTTTAATCTTGCACAATGAAACATATCTAACGTTAATAGTCATCTCCTTATCCTTCCTATTAATTAACTAGCATAACAGAGTCAAGAAGAAGGATGAGTTGTGTGTTATAATCTAAGAGGTATACAACGTTTTGTTAGATTAGTTAAAATTTCGATTGAATATCGATAGGCGTGAGCCATGAGCTAAATCCTAATCACATTTAGGGCTAAATTGACGAGTCCGAACAATGTAAATCAACTCCATGGTTTCTTATATAATATAGTTTAGTACAACGTTCAGTACTTTTCAGGTCTTTACTCTTCTCCACTGCCTCTTCTCCGCCTGCTTCTTCCAAATTTATCTCTTTCCCCTCTGCCACCATCTCCCTTCTAATGAAAGTTACTATTGAACTTTACAGTCTTTCATGTCGCTAATTTGCTCCATCCTCCGCAGCAACCCACACATAAAACCCATTTCCTCTATAAACGCTAGAATTTATTCCTCAGCTCACTGGTCTAGCATTCATTTCTCAGCTCACTGGTATAGCATTCATTCCTCAGCTCACTGGTCTAGCATTCAATCCTCAGTTTACTACCTCTAGCATTCACTCCTCAGCTTATTACCCCTAACATTCACTTCTCAGCTTACTAACCCTTACAATCATTCCTCAGCTTACATAACATACATCTACATAACGGCAATATACAGTTATGTAGATGACATATTCGTAATAGTAAAAGACTCAGATGAACTAATTGATCTAAAAAGCCATCTAGAGAGTGAGTCAGTACTCCGATTTACACATGAAAATAGTGAAAATAACAGTCTGCCATTCTTGGATGTACTAATA